CAGAGCTACATAGTGAGATGCTGTCATAAACAAAATAGAGTTGTGGTCTTCTATCTAGGAAAAAACAAGTGCTGTTTTCAACTTTTAACAAAATTGCAAACTGTTTAGAGAATAGTATCATTAGTAATATGTCCTAATATCTGGCTTCTGATGCTCAGAATGGGTGCCCAAAGTTTTTCCTTTCTGCTTCTCAGTCCTTGGTGTATTAGCACAACTGTTCTTGAGATAAAGGTCATTTTGTGTGTGTGTGTGTGTGTTTTTTTTTTTCTTCCAGTTTTTAGTCAGTGGTTAAATACACAATGCTCAGTTGCAGGTATTCAAGCCCCAACAGTCACGCTGCAAAAAGCTATGTGTGCTGTTGAATGCCCTTTATTCTTTGAGACAGGGTCTATCTATATACAATCCTGGGCTTAAAGGACTGTATCACCAAACAAGCCCATTTGATTTCTAAAATATTTTGAGACAGGGCTTAAAATATTAGGATTTCCAATATAGGAAAAGCAAAACAAAACAGGACATAAAGCTACATATGCTGTGAGGAATTAGCTCACAGGAACAAATTACACAATTTTGTGTCATGTAGACAAGATAACCAGTGGTGTTTCAGTCCAAGATTGAAAGGTAAATGTTTCGCCGAAGCAAGGAATTCCAATTTCCATGTTTTGTTTGAGCTCCGTATGTTGACGAATGATTCATACCCATATTGGAAAGCAAACTGTTCTATTTTAAGGTCTCCCCATTCTGATTTTCTTCCTCTAGTAATTGTCTAGGCTTGGTTTTACAGATCTGTATACTCTAACCTCTTGGGATTGTTCCACATTTGTGCATCTGTGTATGTACTTGCTCTAGTACACTTTACAGGAGTTGATGTTCTCTACCATGCAGATTTCCAGGCGTGGAACTCAGGTTATCAGTGTTGGGAGCAAAAACAATTGCCTGCTGAATATCTTGCTAGATTAGTCCAAATTCTAGTCTTACATCAATTGTTATATCAGCCTTTTCCCACAACAGTCAGATGTCACAAACCCGAGTTCAAAGCAATTAGTAATGCCTACAGGCTACCCATTACTTTTTTTTTTTTTTTTTTTTTTTTAATTTGAATTCATTTTAGATTTATGTCCTCTGCCCTTGTATGTTTGTACCATGTAAGTGACTCTGGTGCCAAGAGAGGTCAGGAGTCACCAGATTCTATGATAGTGGAGTTGTGGTAATTAATAGCTACCATGTGGATGTTGGAAACAGAATCTAGGTTCTTTGGCAAGAACAAGTGCTCTTAACCAAACCCTAGATTTCACTTTGTTGTAACCTGGACTTTTGGTGTGGTTGTCTTATTTTTTCCCCATTGTTTGAGACTGCCACTTTGCTCACTGGCAACTTTCCAGAGGACCTAGGTTTTGATTCCCAGCACCCACCCTGAAGCTCACAACCATCTGTAACTTCCAGGTAATCAGACATCCTCTCTCTACCTCAGATATGAGGAATACATGTAGTGCGTTTGCATACCAACAAAATACACACATTGTTGAGATTAACCCATCTTTGTAGTGGTACAACTCTTTATCAAACCCAGAAAATAAATTTTTGACACTCTTGCTATAGTCCAGGCTGGCCTCAAACTTAGAAACGATCCTGCTTTAGCCTCCTGAGTGCTAAGATTATAAGCACTTGCCTGAATTTATTTTGTTGTCGTTGGTAATGGGAACTTAGGGCTTCAAACCACTGGAAGTAAATCTAACACGGAAAGTTATTTTGTTTGTGCCTTGAGCAGTGTTGGTGTGTGCTTTGTTTGGGGGATAGCTGTGTAGTGAAGGTTGACCCTGAATTTCTGACCTTCAGCCTTGGCTTCCCAAGTGTTTACCATCATTCTTGGTTTTTTATGGAGTGCTGGAGGTTGAGCCAGCCTTACATGTACTAACAAGCAATTTACCAATACAAAACTACATTCTCAGCCTTTTTCTTGAGAAGACAGGCAGGTGGGAATATAGAGAAATTCAAACCAAAAGCTTGGGTGGTGTTCCATGGACATAATTTTAATGGCCATAATAAGCAGCACTCGTTGGTTGACTTGGTACTGTTCTAATGGTGTGTCTGGGTGCTAGGAAAGCTCAAGAATTGAGGGTCTGATATCTATCAAATTTTCTTCTTGCTGCATCATTCCTAATAGAATGGCAGAGTGGGCAAGAGTTGAGCTTGCAGCCTCAAAGCTCTTTTAGCATTAGTTCATTCAGTATAAAACCCTCAACCCCCTTTAGGCTCTACCTCAAAGACTTAACAGGTGGGGAGATCTATTCAAGTCACAGCATTCACTCTTACACTTCCTAGGCAGATAAGTAATTTTTTATATTTCTCTATTATGTTATTTACATAAACATTAATAATCCCTCAACTTTAAAATCTTCAAATCTCTTGAAGCTGTAATATAACAAAACACATTAACAGTATAGTGGGACACTTTTCATACAAATTTGATTAACATTTTGCTGCCTTGTACATTCCACACTGATACACTTGAGTATATATAATACAATATTAAAACTATTTTCTGGCTTTGACACACCTTTATTCCCAGCACTCCTGAGGCAGAGGCAGGTGGATCTCTTGAGTTCCAGGACAGCCAGGACAGAAGAAAAACTGTCAAGCATGTGGCTCACACCTGAAATCTCAGCACCTAGGAGGCTGAGGGACTCCAAGGACCACCGTTGTCTTGAAAACAGTAATCTCTTTGGTCAGTTCAATCAGTTTGAGGGCACTAAATTGTTTTGAGTATAGCCCTGGCTGTTCTGGAACAGCTTTGTAGAACAGGCTGACCACAAATTTATAGAGACCCACCTGAATGCTGGGATTAAAGGCATGTGCCAACACTACCTGGACTTAAAAGTCTTTTGAGACGTTCTCACATAATCCAGGCTGCCTTAAAATTAACTCTGTGGCTTGGGCAGGCCTTGAACTCAATATCTTCCTGCTTCATTCTTTTAAGAATAGATACTTTAGGGACTTATGTTACCCTCCCTTTGCCATCCAGGTACAATTTTTCCCACCCTAGACTCAAAATTCCTGAACTCAACTGGCCACCAGAGCAGCTGTGACTAGCTACAGAATAGCTACAACTACAGACATGCACCACTGACCCAGTTTTCTGCTGCCAGTGATAGTTCAAAGCCAGTTTTGCTTGTGCCAGACAAGCATTGTACCAATAAGGTATAGCAAAATATTGTGGGACTCTGGAGCAGGAAAAAAAAAGTAACCCCAGGAAAGGTTGTAGATACAGCAGGTAGTAGAGTGTTTCCTAGCATCCTCAAGGCCAAGATAATAGGCATTCATTTTATTAACATACTTAATGATAAAGTGTTTACATTCATCACCTGTGACTAGATGTTTTTCTCAAACTAGGAACCTTCTGGATGTTCAATCTGACACTACCTGGAGTTAGTACTGTCCCCACTTTGGATGCCTAGTAAGTGTTCCAGGTTGAAATCTATGCATCTGACAAACTAGTAATCTTGCTGAGTTTGATAACTTGCTAGAGTGGTTCATAGAACTCAAGGAAACACTTTATCCATTCCAAAGGATATTACCAAAGATACAGAGTAACAGCCTGAAAGGGATACACGGAATAAAGTATAGGCGTGTCCTGAGCCCTGGACTTGTGTCTCTTCTTGTTCTTGAACCCACCAGCCTTTGAAATGCTATGTTTGGCTTAAAAGACTTCCCAGTTACTACTTCCTCTGCTGCTGCAGTACACTGTCCTTTTTGCAGCTCATCAAACATATTAGGTCTCCCTACAGATACATCTACTTATCCTCCCTGCCTCACTTCAGAATTAGACTCCTTGCCATTCACATGTGTATGACAGCTGGCTTTAGTGATTCACACCTGTAAGCCTATCATTCGGAAGGCCGAGGTATGAGCATTGCCCAGATTTTGAGGCCAACACCAAGATCTTAAAACGATAAAAATTATGAACAGCTGCTAGGTGGCAGTGGCGCCAGCAATCGGTAGGTAGAGAAAAAAATATCCTGCTGTACAGACCAAGTTCCAGGATAACAGGGTTACAGAGAAACCCTGTCTCAAAAAAAAAAAAAAAAAAAAAAAAAAAATCACGGTTATAAACGTAACTGGATTGTGAGCTATATTAGGGTTACATTACTTACTAGGTTCACCTATATTTCCAGAAATACGTGATCTAGCACTTGCTCCGAGTTCAAATATTTGAAAGCACACAAGTGAAGCGAAGGGAGACAATTGGAAAGCTTAACTCGTAACAGTTCTAACGTTTCCAACATTCTCCCCACCTCCACGCTCAACAGTTAACAAAACACGCACGCTCTCAGATACTCTGGGTCTCCAACCCCAGGCAACCCTTTCATCCTTCAAACCCCAAAGTCCCAAATCCAAAGTGAACCCATAGTAGCCAGCACTAAACGATAGTAAACCCTCCTTCACCCCTGCGCAGCCGATCGGCTCCAGCCTCGGCGAAGTTCCTGATCCAATCCTAGAGGCCAGAATTCTGAACTCTTGTTCGCGAAGCCACGATGCACACAGGCGCACCGCATTTGGTCAGCGATAAAGCTGCACCGCGTAGAGAGGTCCTCCAAACTCTTCAAACAACATTGGCCGCACGCACGTACATACGTGTCGGTTCGAGAAGCTAGACTGCGTGGCAGAGCTTCAGATGTTCACTCAGGTTTAAGGGGTAAGAACGAAAGACAACGATCACTCTCTCGCGCCTTTAAGAGCCATCCCCATTCCAGCCCGTAGAAGCTGAGAAAATGCTCGCGAGAGCCAGCGGATTCACCCCGCTTCCTCCTCCAGGCTAGCCGGGCCGGAAGGAAGGCGGTACCTCCCGCTCCTCGGCCTATACCTCACAAGGCAGCCCGGCCGCAGAGGCAGCCAATCAGCTCACCTCTTGTAAGCAGAGGTGCGGAGAGCCAATGGGAAGTCGCGGCGCGCGCAGAGCTTCTCTTCGTCGCACCGGCCCCCTCCCTTCCGCCCGCCGCCTTCCACTCCGCCCCTGGCGGAGGAAGTGAGATCAGAGGCCCCATGTGAGCGGATTGCAACACATGCAGCTGCCTGGAGAGAGGGAGCCGGTGTCCTACGTCAGAGCCGCCGCCGCCGCGGAGCCGCCGCCGGGGAGGAGCAGCCGCTACCGCCCAGGACTGGGCCCTTAGGTAAAGCGGGCGTAGGGAAGGCCGGCGCCCTATGCGGCGGGCTGTCGGGGCGGGGAGAAGAGGGCAGCTCGGGGGGTGGCGAAGAAGGGGGCCGCTCTGCCCCAGCGGCGGCGCTAACTCTGTGGTCTTGGTGTCTCCGGGCCCCGCCGGGCCGCTCTAGGGAGGAGGAGGCGAGAAGATGGCGGACGACCCCAGTGCTGCCGATAGGAACGTGGAGATCTGGAAGATCAAGAAGCTCATTAAGAGCTTGGAGGCGGCCCGCGGGTGAGCGCCGCGTCCGGCCCCCCCGGGCCCTCTTGGATCCCGGACCCCTCAGGATGGCCGCCCCCGCGCCGCATGGCCGGATGAGGAGAACCCGGCACTAGCCAACTCCCGCCTTCTGGACCTCTGGGTAGTAGCCTCTGACTGGAGGGCGAGGGTCGGCGCGGCTGGCCGGGAAAGAAGTCCTTCCCCCCCTTGGGGGTAAGGAGTGTGGTTCCCACGGCTCAGATCACTCGCCCCCTCTCTGGAGGAAGCCACTGCTACTTTCGTAGCCCTCTGGAGCCCTTGAATCCAGCTCCTCACTTTTCGGGCTCCTGGTGCTGCCACCCGACTTGGGTGCTGTTGGGGAAAGAACTTGGCGTTCCTTTCCGAACGCCCTACCCTGATTTTCTCTCTTCCTCTCGATTCACGTTCCTCAGACAGGCCTCATTAAAATGGCCTCCCCCACTTGGACTTACAAGTCCGGTGTGGGTGAAGGTTTGATGGGGGGGGGGGTGTAAAGAAGAGTTGGCCAAGAGAGATCTTCCTGGCTTACCTTTATTTCTCTGGGTCTTAGGCCTCTCCGAAGGTGACTTCCCCTAAGTTTTCTAATTACCCTGGAGTTTCCTGGTTTTAGCTGTTCCGGGACCCGCCTATAAACCGAAAATACCAGCGTGAGTGGAATGGGGTGATGGTGGCTTTTTTTGTTAACAAGTCTGTTGTATGCATATTCAAGAGAATTCCAGGTAATGGGGCTGTTTGATAGGAACCATAATAATAGAGTCCTTGTTGGCGTCTCTGTGGAACTTCTTGGGAGTATCACTGTCAAGTGCCTAATGGGCTAGTAATGCTGTGGAAATTCAAAACTGACTCAAACCGATCTTTCAGTCTCTAAGAATTTGTTAGTGTGTCCGATCCTGGGTGAATACACTAGGTTGAAAGTAGCCATATGTTTGTTTTGTGTGAGAGTGTGCCAGAGGTATTTGTTTCTTCCATGCATTGCTGTATGGAAGTTTCTTACTTTCCGAATTAATAGAAACTTTATAAATTCCTGTACCAGAGTATTCTTATAGCAGAGTGGCTTTTTCCCAGGCCATCCATGTAGGAAGTTAGTTTCAGCACACAGATGAAACATTCTGTTTTCAGCTCGAGTTTATCAATGATGGGTAGCTTGATGGTGAAATGGTGACCACCTTGTCACTGAGTTCATTCACTTTTGGAATTGGATTTGGCTTTATTCTAGAGTCCATGGTTTTAAAGCAGGATGCTTTTGCTTTGGTGTTTCATTATTAATAAGTGAGCAGCACAAATGTCTGTTTAGGATCAGACTTCTGAAAGTTTGGCCCTATTTGGTGCTTTGTTCATCCCTTTGATGTAGTGTAAAAACTTCAGTTGAAGTAGATGATTTTATTGTTATTATTTCTTAGGGGGTTTTTTTTGTTGTTGTTTTTTGTCTTTTTTAATTTATTGGGATATAAAGACTTACTCATAGGAACTTGTACCATGTGGCAAAGTAAAAATAAGTAATCCCAAATGTAAAAATGCTGTATAGGAATGTTAATAGAGCTCATGATTCATTACAATGCCAAGAGATGCCAAGAATTAGCCGGGTACTATTGTTTCTGTAGGCTACCTTCTGTTGTTACTTAAAGCTTTCTGTGGGGTACTGACACTCATGGATTACTGCTGTTACACTGTTTCAAGTTGGACTTGAACCTGTAGGCTGTCTCCGTGCTTTCATTTAGGCAGGTTCTTTTATTAGAATTTGGATATTAGGTGGTACTCGCCTTTAGTCCTAGCACTGGGGAGGTAGAGGCAGAGAGAGGCAGGTGGATCTCTGTGAGTTCCAGGACATGCACCAAAGCTACACAAAGAAACCCTGTCTCAAAGAAACAAGTCAAACAAAAGGAGAATTTGGATATAGTGTGTTCTCTGAAGCAGCTAAAATATCATTAATTAATTTGTTTGAATGAAGTTAACATTGAAGACAACACTGCTTAATAAGCTACTTTTCTTTCTCCTAGTTGATGAGCAAACTGATTCTTAGATTTGTTCCTAGCCATAGTTCCTAACTACTTGAAAATTTTAAGGCTCTTTTAAACGCCTTTGGAAACTTTACTTTCTAGTTAGAAAAGTTCAGTAAAGTTTGAAGCATGCTAAACAATATTTTAGATAGGATTATTCTGTCCAAAATATCTAGAGACTCTTCCTCTAAACAAATAATGTGGTTTATAATCTTGTCCTACTTTGCTTAATAAGTTAGCCAGGATTTGGTTGCACCTTGAGCCCATGGAAATGTTAAGATCCTATCCATCTCAAATGTTGTTGGTCAGGGAATCCAAATTTTAGTGTATGTGGCTCAGAACTTTCTTGGTAATTAGTTTCTTTTGGGAAATGACAAGATTTAATTTCCATTGCTGAGTTGTATTAGACTTTAAATTTTCACAGTGTTTTATGGGCTCTCCCCCCAAAAAGAAAGTGTTTTTATTTATTTGATGGTTTTGGAAGCCAAGCTGGCCTCCAACTCATTATAGGCTGAAACTGGTTTGACCACCTGATCTGCTTCCAGGTGCTGGGGTTATAGGATGAGCTACTCTGCCTGGCAATACTAAAATATTCTTAGGGTAATTGTGATGAACCTTAAAGACAAATTAAATAGCAAAATGCTTACATATGTACCAGTATTTGGGAGTGCCCCCGTTGAATGTCAGTAGAAACTAACGTTTGTAGTCAGATGTAGCTAGCACAAGGTAGTGATGGGTGCCTAGAATCGTCTCAGAAATTAATAGGAACTTGTAGGCAGGATTAGGTGTGGGTCTGTTTCCATTTGTCCCATTAGCGTGTGTACATGGATTTTGTAGAAGTTAAAGGGCAACTTTGGCATTAGTTGATTTTCTCTTTCTGTGTTAAGGTCTGGGGCTGGAACTTGGGTTGTCAGGGCCCAAGATTGGTAGTGGGGTTTTGTAGTTTTGTTTTGTTTTTTAGTTGGTTGGTTTTTTTTTTTTTTTTTTTTTTTTTTTTTTTCTTGTTTGATGGTTGTTGCTGTTTTTTGGAGTGAGGGTCTCACTACGTAGCCAAGGATGGCCTCCCAACTCACAAAGACCTGTGTGTCTCTGCTCATATGTGCTGTCACCATACTCAGCATAAATGCTACTTTTTAAAATTTGCCCAAAAAAGTAATTTTGAAGTTTTACTCATCATTGTGTGAATATCTTCTGGTATATAACCAAGTACAGTGTAGCTTAAAAAGAACTACCCACAAAATGTACTCAATAGTTAAAATACATTGACAGGATGAAATAACCACAATAATTTATTGAACATTTTGTCATAAATGCTTTGGAGTGATACATTGTCATTTAATATTCACAACAGTAAATGTCACTATTTGCTACACAAGCAACTGAAGCTTAAAGTTTAGATAACCTGTTTCTTGAGTATCACAGTGTAAAAATGTGAGACAAGATGTGCAGAGGCTTGTTTGACCTGTGATACATTATTCTAAGCTTTGGTTTCCACACGTGTAACTGCATAGTAATCTAGATTCTAATTTGTGAACCAGTGAGCTATATTTTGTGTTTTCTAAAATCTTCAAGACTTAAGTCCAGCAGGCTGTATTATTTGTGGAATTGCATCTACAAAGGCCAGATACTAAAGAAGAAACTTGGTGTCCCTGTTTTATAACACCTGGGTTGTTTTGTTTGCTTGTTTTGTTTCTTAACACATGGATTTTAAACTGATTTGAGTGTGCCTATTTTGTTTTCATTTAAGTGAGGTTGAATATTAAGTTTATATATGCTAATAGCCAGTTGTTTTCTTACATATAAGCCTCCCTTAATATTTGATTGTGTATGATTTTACCTCTTTATGATTACTCTTGGTATATTCACCAAAGTTGTCTCAAGGAGAAACATTTACATGGCCAAAGCTGGTGCCATGTGATTTCAAATAAGGAACTTAAAGCAGGTTTCTAGGCGTTTTTGTGGTTTTGGTTTCTTTTTTGTTTTGTTTTTTGAGGTAAGATTTCATGTGTTCCTGCTTGATCTTTCTGTTTCAATCTCCCAAATGCTGGAATTATAAGAACGAGCCACCAGGACCAGCTCGTCATCACTCTAGCTCTGGGAAAAGGAATGGTCCTTAGTCCAAGATCAGTTGCCTACAGTAGACTGTTCTATATGCATCTTTCTCTCAATAAAAGGAACATTTTCTGTTTTCTTTTGGTTTTTGGAGACAAGGTTTTCTCTGTGTATCCCTGACTGTCCTGGAACTCTGTAGACCACGTTGGCCTTGAATGCAAATATTCAGCCAGCAGAATGTTACTCATTTTTCAATATTCTTTTTAAAATGAAGCTAAATTTGGGTTCTAAAGATATTTTAATAGGTTTAATCCTGAGAATTAAAAGATTGTGTGGAAGAAAGTAAGACACACCTAGAAAGTGCAGAGACTTGTTTGACATATGACAGATTATATGTATTTAACTATGCATATAAATCTTGGATTGTTCCAGGCGGTGGTGGCAAAGACAGGCAAGCAGATCTCTGTGAGTTCGAGGCCAGCCTGGTCTACCGTGAGTACTAGGACAGCCAGGGCTGTTACAGAGAAACCCTATCTCAAAAAACTGGAAAAGAAATTTTGGATTGTTAATGTTTGGCTCACTGGGTTAAAATGTCTAGCACTGTGTATTTCTCATAGCCATGTAGCCTAAGTTCTTTTCCACTGGCTATCCGCTTGCCTCAGCATTTGAAATACTGGGATTTTAAGCATGTGCCACTGTTCCTGAATGTATGATGCTTTCCTGTTATGTATGCAAACATTGATCTTGTAGAAATACCTTAAAGGATCTAGGTCTAGTGGCACAGGACTAACTTTAGCTATGTGTGAAGTTGAGGTAGGAAGTTGCATGTTCAAAGTGTGCCTGGGTAACTAAATGACATGCTGAGTCAAAATTTAAAAAGCAGTATTGTGATATCATTCAGTGATAGAGTACTTGCCTAGCATGCTCAGGGTTAGACTGTCTCAAAAA